CTCAGCCTAGAGTGCCAGCCAGCCTTCTGCACACCCCAGATCCGGAGTCACTTGTGGACCCTGTGTTGTTTGGAAACGGTGCAGGGCCAAGCTTCTGTTACTGCTCAGAGCTGAGCTGGATCAGGACAGATGGGGAGAGGGGCAGGGAGAGTCATAGTGAACACAGTGAGGGCTGTGTCCTGCCAGCTGAGAGGCTCAGAGAGAAGGGAAGAGGGATGTTGGCCTGCAACCCTCCCTGAGGCTGGAGGTGTGGGCATGCGGCCCTTCTCCTCTCTCACAGCCTGACCCCGCAGCCCCTCCAGGAACATGGAGAATCAGCACTGAAAATGGGAATAGAGGGATTCACTACTGCCTTTAGCAGGGCCAAAGCCTTGGTACCAGTGAGGAGCAGGTGGTACAGGCTACTGCACCCCGGGTTGGGGGGCCAGGTTAGGGAAGTACCAGACCCTCAGGGAGGGAGGGCTCTGAGATGGGGTGACCGGGGAGGGGCAGCCTCTGGAGAAGGGACCTAGGGGCTCTCAATCCCTGGGACAAACATTTGTTCTTCTCTGAAGGCCCGTGCTGCTGCCCGAGCCCCCGAGCCCGGGGTCCTGCTCTAGACTCTGCCTTTGTGACCCGCCGTGGCTCCCCTGCTTCATCCTCCACCCCAGGACGCAGTGGTTCTAAATCTGGAGGACTCCAGGGTCACCACTCCCAGGGTCTCAACACGGCCTGTCCTCTGTGACCTTTGGGGTCATAGTTTCCTTAACACACGGATGCCACTTTCTCAGGTGCTAAGGGGCAGATTCTTGCACCTCAACATCAAGAGGTGAAGGGATCATGTTCCATCCAAATCGAGTGGTGGACAGCAGTGGAGTCACCGAGGTCCTGATGTCCTTTGAACACTTAGAAAAGGAATCCTCCTTGGATGCGGACTTCCCCATCTCAGTGCGTGGACAGTCCCCACGCCGAACACAATCAGCCACACAGCAAGTGCCCACCTGCACTGAAAGTGTCCCGTGACCCAAAAGACATTGGACAAGGTGCGGGGCTTCTGTGCCGGGGAGGTGGGAAGGAACACATCTGTAGAGTGAGAACTTAGGCCCTAAAACCCATGGGGACTTAAATCAGTGTGTCCGCAGTAAATATATTTGAGAAACTGTGCATGTTTACAAATGAGGTTAATGAAAGGACCTCCCTGGTGTCACAGGGGTTAAAGACAGCACTGTCAAGCCATTGGCAGCCACTGCAACACCAGTTTCATCCCAGGCTGGCCTGGGAGCTACCCAAGTGGCACAGTTGACCTCTCCTGACTTGTGCGCTGCTCCCCTCAGCAGTGTATCTCAGTAGATCTGCCTGTTCTGCTCCCCACTCTTTAGGGGAATCCTCTCACCGTCCACACCTCTGGCCTGTACCCCCGTTTTTGTATGCATAAATAAAATAAAAAATTATAAAACCACAACCCCATCTTTGTCTTTTCATAAAATGGTAAATACCTGAATCCATCCTTCCTGTGACCATAAAGCACATTTTGGAACAACCGCTGAGACGTGACTCTGGACTGCGGATGAGGTGCTGACAGGCTGAGGTGAATCTGCCGTGAGCGTGTGTGGGGATCCAGGAGCGTGTCCTGCTGTGCAGGAAACACACGCTCGTGTATGTGGCATCAGAGGCCGTCACCATCATGGGGGACATCGGGTGACAGCTCGCTGCCCTGTGGCTCAGAGAGGGAAGGACCTGCACACCTTCACCTCTTCTGTGTGAGTCTGTTCTTCTCCCAAAGGCCTTACAGTTACTGAGTACGTGGAATTTAAGAGAAGTTCATTCTCAGAGTTGGAGGAAGAAGGAAGAGCCCAACAAGTGCAATCAAGACCCAGCTGCTTGTCCAATGGGAGGTGCTGCTCAGACTCCCTTGCTCCTGCCTCCTGGGCTGCTCCTCCTGCACCTCATCTGCAGGACCACCCCCCCACCCCCGCCCCGCAGGGCCCTTCTGAGAGTGTGTGAGTCAGGCCTGAGCAGGGGTGTGCACACACCCGGGGATAGTACTGACCCTCCCTGTGGGGCAGGAAACCAACCAGAGAATGGGGTCTAGTAGCTCTTCTGAGGTTAAATCATCCTCTGTGGTGTGTCCGGAGGGGTGTGGGGAGGAGGTTAAGTGAGGTTGTGGTTGCGGGTGGGGGGGGGTATCCCATGTCTTGCCTTCCAAGATCTCATCACTGCCAGAGCAATTTCCCATCTCACCTGTGACATCTCTTCCTCTCCAACACCCTGGGGTCAACCCATCTGTTCTCCCTGCTGGTCCTCAAATCGTGCCCCAGGCATTCAGTTCTGGCACTTTCCACTGTCAGGTGTTCCCGTCCCACTGGACAGGAGCTGCAGACGATCAGAGCCGGGCATGCATCACCTCCCGGGGTCTCTCTGACACCCCCGAGTATCAGGCTTCTGCGGATACAGACAGAATATGGGTAGAAAGACTGATGTGGGGTGAGTGGAGGGGACAGTGGGGAGAGACTTGGAGGAGAGAGAAGGGGGAGGGGGGAGCTAGAGAGGCGCCAGCGCTGGGGCTGTGAGGAGTGAGACTGAGTCCCGCCACCCGCCACGGGTGGGATCCTCACCCCCCCCACCCCGTGGGCAGGTGAAGCTGAAGGGGATCCTGCTCTTTGTGGGGGGCAGACTCAGGTTCTTTTACCACCTTCAACTTGCTGGTGTTCAGGCCTCAGCAGGTCTCCTACTACAGAGGTCAGGGGTCAAGGTCGCAGAGACAGAGATGACCCAGAGCTGGAGTCCAAGGGCTTCCTCCTCACTGGAGGTGACTTTGCATGTGTGGAAATAAAGCAGGAGGCGCAGCCCCTGCCTGCGACGGAGCACGGAGGGTCTTGCTCAGGCCCAGCAGGTCCCACTGCTGTCCTCCCTCCCCCCCAGCCCAAATGCTGCTGCAGGGAGGGGAGAGGCCCCTGCCTGGAGAGCGCAGGGATGGGGTCAGGGGCCTGCAGGGGCGCTGGTTGGCTGCCTGGAAAACTTTGGGCCTCGAAATTGAAATTCCCGCCGGGAATTTCCCGGGAGGGGAGACTTGGGGCTCTGGGAGAGAATCCAGCAGATCGAGGCTTTCAGGAGGGACCACCCGAGCCGGCGCCCCTCACATTAGGACATGGCTGAGGCCCAGAGAAGAGCAAGGACTCAGAGCAGCCTGGAAGCCAGGAAATGGGGAGGGGAAAGTTTTAGGGGAGGGGTTTGAGGACTGCGCACCCCTCCCCTCTCATGGGGCCCCAGACCAGGTGAAGGGCTACTCTCCCCTGACCCCCAGGCAGGGACTTTGGGAAAGGCCAGAATCTCTGCGCTTGCTGGTGGCGTGACACAGCCCCCCTCACCGAGCCCCTGCTTCCCGCAGAGAATTGGCTCAGTTCTGGACACTGGCAGAGGCAGGTGTGCCTTGGGATGGGGGCAAGAGGTTCCTGACCACCCCTCCTAGTGTTCCAGGTTGGTTTTACTTCTGGAAATGAAGCGCTCAGCACCGGGAGGGCTGCTGGCCTGGCCGTCCTGCCTGGGTGTGAGGGGCGCTGGGAGCCCCCACAGGTCTCGGGCTAAAGCGCCATCCTGCTGCTCCTACCGGACCTGACCCTCCTGGCCACTGGCTCCTGACCTCCTGCGGGGGCCCATTCTGGGGACAGCATCTGACTGCAGGACTGGCCTTCAGCAGAAGCCCTCACTGAGCCTGAAGAATGCAGGGCCCTTCCCACCAGGCTTCCCTCAGGCCTGATGGCAGAGTTCTTCAGGCTTCACCGGGGACCCTGGGTGACAAGGGGGTGTCTGTGTCTTTCCTCTCCTCTTCACCCTGATTTCTCACTTCTCTCTACCACCTGCCTCAGAAATTCTGGATTTTCTGTTTTCCCAGCACCCAGGAGCACCTATGGGCCGATCAGTCCCTTCAGCCGGGGCCTGCAGGAGCCCATGACCCAGCCCTGCAAACTCTCCTTCTGCAAGCTTGGGTGCCGGCACTGACCCAGCCAGGCATTCCCATCCGCTGGACAAGAGCTTGCAGTCACCCAAAGCCGGGCACACATCCCCTCTGACTGTGCTTCTGACACCCCTGCACATCAGGGTTCTGTGGGCGACAGACCAGAATGTGGGTGGAAAGACTAATGCGGGGTGTGTGGAGGGAGCACTTGTGGGTGTTGGGGGGAGAAAGAACAAGAGAGAGACAGAGAGGCAGAGAGACAGAGAGAGGAAGGGGAAGAGAGAGAGAGAGAGAGAGAGAGAGAGAGAGAGGAGCTTGCATGAGAGAGAGCGGCGCCCACTGGTCCTGTGATGAGTGAGACTGCAGTCCAAGCAAGGGTGGGGTCCACACCCTCTGTGGGCAGATGAAGCCTGAAGGGGAATCCCGTTCTTTGTGGAGGGCAGGTCAGTCCCCTCAGCCTGGGCCTGCCGGTGCCCATGACCCAGCACTGCAAACTGTCCCTCTCCACCTTCCCCACCCCCCTCCCCTGGACCAGATTCCTCAGGAGCAGCCCCCCTACAGGCTCCTCCAGTCCTGCCAGGACACCACAGTGCCTGAGCCAGGCCAGGTCTGCCCCACTGCGGGGGAGGGGGCGATGGGGGAGGAGATCTCTGCTGGCCAAGTGCCAGGTGAAGAGTCTGGGTTGCTCCCCGGTGTCTTCAGCCTTGCACGGGGTCCCAGCAGGAGCGTCTTATTCAAAAAAGACCAACACGGAGGAAAAAAATCAAAGAGTCATTGAAAAAGTGGTGGTCGGGCTATGCTGGTGCACCACCTCTGGGATCAGCAGGGACACAAAGGCAGAAAGGCCGGCCACGGTGTCTGGAGGTGTCTGCTTTTCAAACTGGCCCAGCCGAGTTGATAAAGGACCTTGCAAATGGCCCACAGATGGGGCCGGGCGGGAGCTCACAGCTTGTCACAATCCCTGTCTGTGAGAGGCCGGGGTGGGAAGTTCAGGTGTCAGCGGTGGTGTCTCTCCTGACACGCAGCCCGGCGATCCCGCATCGCACTTTCACGGGGAGCGAGTCCCTCAGGCTGTGGACGGCACGAGTCTCGGGGCACTGCCCACTGGGGAGCGTCTCCCCCAGGGCAGCTTGGCGGACACGCGCCTGCTCCGGAGTCCCGAGGGTCCTGGCTCACGGGTCGGTGCACCTGGTGGCCGTTTGGAACGACCGAGGGAGCCCACCCGGGGGTGCAGCTGCTGCGGCGGCGGCCGAGGGGACTAGGGATGTGACTCCAGGGTGAAAGAGCCTCCAGGACGGCAGACACCGCGGGCTCGAGAAAGCCTGAACGCACTGACTGAAGGGAGAGCCCAGGCCCGCGGTCTGGGGTCGGGAATCCCCCAGGCATAAGCGGTTCACTCCAGAAAACAGAGCGTTTGCACAAAATCTGGACAAAATCAAAGGAACAGTGCACGGGCTGCCTAGAGCGCCCCTGGGGAAGGTGTCCGGGAAGAGCTGGAGGCAAAAGCCACAAACAGGGAGAGGAAGCGCAGACCTCAGAAGCCCGGAGTCTCCTCCAAAGCCGGAGCCTCCAGTGCTTAGTCACTGCCCGGCAGGGGCACGTTTCACCCCACAGCCCGCAGGGAGGGTAGAAGCGGGGAACTCCCGAGGGCTTCTCTGGGGTGCGGCAGTCAGGGATCCGCTCCTCTTCGTCCGCACCATTTGAGCTGATTCCAGGTCACCTGCCAGTCCTGCTGGAAGACGTCGTCGCCAGAGCTGGGACGCACCATCTCTTCAGGCGAGACGACTCACACAGACACACGCTTTCCTTTTCTTTAGGTGAGATGACGTTGCATTTTAGTTGCCTTACAATAAGGAGCCAAAAGTAAACCTGAAAGTTGAGTGATTTTATAAAAGATGACTTTAGGGGCCTCCCTGGTGGCGCAGGGGTTAAAGACACAGCACTATCAAGCTATCGCCGGCCACTGCAGCAGGAGTTCGGTCCCAGCCAGGGAGCTGCCCACGTGGCGCAGCAGACCTCTCCTGTCTCGCCCGCTGCTCCCCTAGATACAGTTAGCACGTTTGTCTTTCCCCCATTTCTTGCAATCCCCTCTTATCTAGCATTAACAACAGCTTGTCTTTCCCCATTTGTTACAGCTTCCCCCTTCCCTTAAGCAGAACAAGCTGTCACCCCTTGGTTTCCCGTGCAGACCCTGTCCCCCTCCCCTTAATGAAAACAGGCTGAGACCACCTGTCTCTGTGCTGACCCTTCCCCTTCGCTTAAGAAGAGGAATGAGCTGACACCCACCGGCCTCTGTGAAGACCCTTCCCCTTCCCCTTCTCCGTGCTGACCCTCTTCCTGGTGGCGCAGAGGGTGAGGGCTGGGTTGGGAAGCTGCCCACAGCCTCTGCAGCGCTGGTTCGATCCCAGGGTCCCACATGGCTCAGCAGACCTCTCCTGCCGCACCTGCTGCTCCCCTCAGCAGTGTATTTCATCAGTCTGCCTGCTCTGCTTTCTGCTCTGACTCTGGTGAATCCTCTCACCCTCTGGTTCTTGTATGTATGGAAGAAAGAGAAAGGAAAGAAAGAAAGAAGGAAGGAAGGAAGGAAGGAAGGAAGGAGAGAGAGAGAGAGAGAGAGAGAGAGAGAGAGAGAGAGGAGAGAGAGAGAGAGAGAGAAGAGAAGAAAGAAAGAAAGAAAGAAGAAAAGAAAGAAAAAAAAGAAAGAAAAGAAAGAAAGAAAGAAAGAAGAAAGAAAGAAAGAAAGAAAGAAAGAAGAAAGAAAAGAAAGAAAGAAAGAAAGAAAGAAAAAGAAAAAAGAAAGAGAAAGAAAGCAAGCAAGCCAGCTGGTACCATCCATGTCCATGTTGAGCTGGAGCCCACTTGTCTCCGCGCAGTCCCTTCCCTCTCCCCTTCGCAGACCCCTACCCATCTCCCCCTTGTGTAAACACCCTGCACTCTGCCAAACAGCAGGACGGTTGTCTTTCAGACATGAGTCTGCTGCCCTCCTCATTTGTCCACAAATTAAACCACTTTCCTTTTCCTCAAACTCAGTTTCCTGTTATTGGCTGGAGGAAACTGAGGCCGGTGTTCGCGAAAACCCTCCGCAGTGAATTTCAGCAGATCTGCCTGTTCTGCTGCCCACTCTCTATGGGGAATCCCGTCTCACACATGCCCCACCTCTGATCTACACCCGGGTCTTGTATGCATAATTAAATCTTTTTAAAAAAAGACTTTAAAGGGTCAACAAATTCTCATTATTAAGCTTAGCAAAACCTGAGTTGTAGGAGAGATTTAACCACCATTGGAGCCATGATTAAAAGAACAAGTTCAAGGGGGGGGGTGGGCTTCACGGAGTGCAGGGGAGACTGCCAGTGCTGGGTACCACCTCTGCTTTGTTTTTTTGTTTTTTTGTTTGTTTTTTTAAAGATTTATTTATTATTTGTTTGTTTGTTTGTTTGTTTAAACAAGAACCAGGGTACAGGCCAGATGCACGGGAAGGTGAGAGGATTCACCAGAGACAGAGTGGGGAACAGAACAGGCAGACTGACGAAATACACTGCTGAGGGGAACAGTGGGGCGTGACAGGAGAGGTCTGCTGCACCATGTGGGAACCTCTCTGTCCGGCCGGGATCGAACCGGAGCTGGGAGCTGCAGAGGCTGAGGACAGCTTCACAGCATGGCCCTCAATCGCCTGCACCATCAGGGGAGGCCCACCACCTCTGCTTTGTTAACCCCTGAGGGTTAATTTCCATATTATCCTCTCATGAGATTGTCCTTCCTTTTCTTTAGAATCAGAAAGACAAACTTGTTACTTGAAGAGATAGGGGTGCTTATCTGGTAGGGAGCAAGAGAGCCCCTCACTGCCTCAGTAGTAGGTGACCGGTCTGGGCAGCCTGTGTTTGCATCACAACTCTTTTTGCCTGGGAGGAGCCTCCAAAGGACTGGTCTTTAGGGCAGTGCAGCAATGTGCTTCCTTGTACTGTTGAACATGCCGCTTCTGCTCTGGTCGGTGGCTTCTGAGCGTCCTGCCAGTATGAACAGGCGCTTCTGGCAAATTCTATCACGGAGTCCTCTTCTTCTACAGTAGTTTATTGGAGAGATAAAATCCATGATCCTTTAAATATTTTAGGCAGGTAAAATATTTATAATTTTAAAAAATGGTAAATTATTTAACCAATTTAATCAAATTATCTTTTCAATACTTGCTTTTTTCTAATATACAAATATTAGAACATGGGAGTAACAGTGAAATAACAGCCAAATAGCTTTATCTTTGAGAGAAAGAAAAATAAATGCATGGTCCTTAATTACCTTAAAAAAGTGAAAACAAAACAAAAAAAACTTTATACTGTCTTTCTTATAAATAAAGCATACATGATCCCGTTTCAATTTCTGTGCATTTTTTTTTTCCTCACTGGGAAAAAAGAACCGGAACAAATATTGGAAAAATGAGAGCATAAAACAATCTGAACACCACCAGGGATTAAAGTGGTATAAGTTGAATACTAGAGGGTGAGCATTTTGAACAGGATCTCCCAGAATCAAACCATAATTAATTTATATAAGAATTTAATAAGCATAAAAATGCATTAAATAGCACAAAGAAACTTGGGTTATTCCTTGTGTAATCTTGGTACTTTTAGTTCAGATACTGGAGAAAATAAAATGGATTTTTACCTTGGTTTCTTCTGGGTACATTTTTTTACTTAATTACTTTAAAAGATACCATTTGAGGGCCTCCCCTGTGGCGCAGGAGTTAAAGACAGCACTATCAAGCTACTGCCAGCCACGACAGCATGAGTTGGATCCCTGGCCAGGGAGCAACCTGCATGGCACAGCAGACCTCTCCTGTCTCCCCCACTGCTCCCCTCAGCAGTGTATTTCTGTACATCTGTCTGTTCTGCTCCCCACTCTGTCTCTGGTGAATCCTCTCACCTCCCACACCTCTGGCTTATACCCCAGCTCTTGTATGCATAAATAAATAAATCTTTTAAAAATAAAAAATACCATTTGAAAATTTCAGATAAAAGTTAAAGTACCATTAAAAATAAATTCACAAAAGCCCAATAATAAGCTGGGATTTAGTCAATAATAAGAAAAAGGTGAATGCGTCTAACATATCTAGGTCATACACATCAAAATTTTGAAAACAAAGGCTCTTCCAGAAAGAGGGCAAGAATGAAGAGTTCACAGTAAAGGAAATGGAAAGTAAAAGTTAATTACAGTCACCTTTATTCTGGGGTCATCCCTGCCCTATTCCTCTCTTCTCAATGCACCTGCACACTTAGATGAGTCTCCCCTCTTTGTGCTTCCAGTCTCCTACCAGCCATTTCAAAAACCAACGCACCTACAACAGAACACTTGTTTGGAACTACATCTGCAACAGACTGCAAACGTTTGAGGCCAGAACTCAGCTCAGCTAACAGTGTGTCGGCGAAAGACACAATAATCTTTTCTGAATGTTACTATACTCAGTCTATACTCCCTGCTGCTACAAGAGAAGTGACAGAAACTGAGTAAGGGATGCAGTTGTTTGAAATTTCAGTTCATTCTTCAGTGTCACTTTCTCATCTCGGATTTTTCTTATCTCAAAGCAGAAGGCCTGGGAACTAGAAGACTGAACTGAATGATGTGCAAATGAGAAAGTCTCCTTGGGACTCTGTGGGGAACATCACTTCACAAGGAATGGGGCGGAGAAATGTCACCTGGACACATCTTGGAATTCATCCCGGAAACTAAAAGATGCTGCTGCATGTTGTAATTTAATATAAAGATAACAGAGGAATGTGAAGCAAATCCAGACAGTGAAGCAATCAGAGCCAGGTCACACAGCATAATAAGCAAGAACTTCACTTAATGACACTAGAACATGATGTGTACTCCTAGAATCATTGCTATCTCCAATGTGTATAAAAAATGGGAAAAATGCTTTCAAAATTTGACTCTGAAGCCTTTTTTGAAGGAAGAGTCTTTAATTAGAAACGATGAACTTGATGTCAGATGGATAGGTAGAGCGAGATGACAGGTGAAAGAGATGAGAGGTTATGACTACAAAGTCTACATTCAATATCACAACAAAATTAGGCACTAACAGAAAACCACGGCTGCTGGTCCCTCCAAAACACTGTATTCCTTGCATGTAAAGTTTGCTTCCTCGTTACTGCATGATTGCCTTTTTTCCAAATAAATAAAGACGATTAGGTCTAATAATAAAAAGAAACCAGAGAATCATATCCTTGAACTTAGAATTATTACAGACTCTAGTCCAAAGATTTCCCT